GACTGAAACAGAAGATGGCAGCAATGCATCTACAAGGATGCCCGCTGCCGTTAATAAATGCCAAAGAAGAAGAAGGAGCTCGGTATCGTAGCTGTGTCCAAATTCAGGGGCTGCATCCTTCGCATTTATAGGCTGATTACGTGACAGTGACGCGAGGAAGGCTGTCCAAATTCGAAGACTCCAACAAATGCGTCCTCCTTTTCCGCAGATTTGAAGGATGGGTCGGGTGTATCCTTCGTGGCCCAACCTATCCCAGGATTCATAGCGCGGCCCAGCCAATTCCAATTTCCAACAATTGCGACAGCTACTTAGTTTTAATATTACTCTTATTGCTCTTTCTGGGTCACAAAATAAACTTTTAAAATATTTTCAGGCGAGAATGTAGCTGTGTAAACTTCAAATATCTGCTCAGTTTATCAGGACATCACAAAAGTGCACCGACGTTTTTGGAGACGAGCTGACTGGAAGATTAAGACTCACTAGAGCCGGTGAGAACACCGGACTCCTAGCAAATCATTTTCAGAACCCCCGCGGTCCTTTGCTATTCAGGTTAAACATGATATATAGGTGACTTCGATAACTTAAAAATGTTATTGTTTGGCTTTTTTCAGATTAAAGTTATAGTTTTCACATGTGCACATGGATGCATGATCTGATTAGTTGACTTATCGCAAAAATAATCGGTGACACTGACAAAATAATTGTTTCTGGCAGCCCTAATTTGTAAATAGAAATATATGTGCTTTGGGTTCACTGTACTCCTTTTTTGAAATGACTGTCCAAGTCATCCAGTCATGAACACAAACATGCATTACCTGATCTGAATTTGTGTCCTACACGCAGCAGTACATGTGTCTAAACTACCTGATAAAACAATGTTTTCTGATGGAAATTAGTCAGTACCTGCTTCTGATGAAAGAACAAAAAGACTGGCTCCGCAGTGTGAACTGGGAGTGTTGAGTGTAAAACAAAATGTAAACATCATCTTACTGAATGACAGCATGTGTCTCCCACCATGGTGTTTACTCCTTTCAGGCTATTAATTCAAATGTCGTTGGTCAAACACAACAGGCGCGGCCAAACAAAACAATAATGAGGCCTGTGTGGAAACACTATTGTGCTGTTTCATGGCCAAAACAGAATCTTCAGATGTCACTTTTCTCTGTTGCATTCAGCTTTA